ACCGCATTTGTAAAACCTCTACAGAATTAAACCTAGTCACAGGAAGGACTTGAACATGAAAGCTATGAAAATAGAAGAAAGAAATTAAAGATCTAGATCAGTGGTTCTCAACCTTTCTAATGCTGTAACCCTTTAATGTCCTCATACTATGGTGACCCCCTAACCATAAAACTATTTTCATTGATAGTACTTCGTAACTGTGATTTCGTTACTATTACGAATTGTAATGTAAATTATGTGTTTTCTGATGGTCTTAGGTGACCACTGTGAAAGGGTCAATAGACTCCTCCACTCCAAAAGGGGTCACAACCTATAGGTTGAGAACCACCGATCTTGCCATCTTGAAATCCTGTAGGCTTTTTACTTATTGAATACACAAATGTTCTGAATCCTGGTGGAATCTCATTTGCCTTATGTTGCTGCTGTTGTCTGTGGTTTTGAATTCATAGCTGTGAAACTTGTCAAACCTGTCATGAATGTGTTCTCCAGTGTCTTTTTTCCCTAGCTATAGTTTTTAGCTCCTATGTGTAGGTTGCTGGTCTGTTTTAGTATCTTTTACAGTGGTGTGAAGCTAGAGTTCAGCTTCCTTCGTTTGCATGTAGCTGCCCAGTTTTCCCAGCACTATTTATTATCCCTTGCTTTTATGTTGTTAAAAATTAACCCTCCATCTAGACTTAGTTCTTGGCTTTCTGAGGATCAAGACAACTTATGGGGAGATACTCCATGTTTGTGGACTGGGAGACAATGCTGTTTAGGTTATCAAATGTACCAAAATTATCTTCAGAGCACTATCAAAACTCTAGGAGCCTTTTCACAGACACAGAAAAGCAAATCCTCAAATTCATACAGAATCGTAGGGGTTCCAGCCAGCCAGAACAATTTGAAAGGGGCCAGAGCTCTGAGGACTCTGCTTCGTGACTCTGAAATGCATATAAAGCTAGTTGTCAAAGCAGTGAGGTACCCCCAGAAGCACAAGCATATAGATCAATGGAATGGAGTTGCAGTGGTTTGAGTAAGAATGTCCCCATAGGCTCAGATATTTTGAATACTTGATTCTCTAGTAGGTAGCACTGTTTGGGGAGCTTAATAGTACAGCCTTGCAGGAGGAAGTGTATTACTGGGGGTGAACTTGGAAAATAAATGCCTTGTGCCACTTTGGATTCACATTCTCTGCTTCCTGCTTGTGCATTTGAAGGTAAGAACTCTCAACTTCCTGCTTTTGCAGCCATGCCTCCTGCCATGATGCAGTCTTCTCCCTCTGGAACAGTAAGCCAAAATAAACCCTTCCTTCTATAAGTTGCCTTGGTCCTCAGAAAGCCAAGAACTAAGTCTAGATGGAGGGTTAATTTTTTAACAACATAAAAGCAAGGGATAATAAATAGTGCTGGGAAAACTGGGCAGCTACATGCAAACGAAGGAAGCTGAACGCTAGCTTCACACCACTGTAAAAGATACTAAAACAGACCAGCAACCTACACATAGGAGCTAAAAACTATAGCTAGGGAAAAAAGACACTGGAGAACACATTCATGACAGGTTTGACAACAGTTTCACAGCTATGAATCCAAAACCACAGACAACAGCAGCAACATAAGGCAAATGAAGATTCCACCAGGATTCAGAACATTTGTGCATTCAAGGATTTCAAGTCATATCTCAGATAGGGATTAATAGAAACCTACAATTCAACAATGGGAAAACAACTCATTTTAAAGCTTGGCAAAGGATGTAGTCAGCTATTTCCCTACGAAAATACAGAGGTGACCAACAGCATGCTCAGCACCAGCCACAATGGAAAAGCAAACTTTAACCGTAGTAAGGTGGCCCCTTATACAGCAAAGATGGCTGGGGAAGAGATGCAAACAACCAGACATGGTGGATTGAGCCTATAATCTCAGCTCTTGATTATCAGGACTGGGACAAGAGATTTGCCCAGGTAGGCCTAGGCTATACAATGAAACCCTGTCTCAAAAATAGCAAGTGCTGAGAAACTCCAGATACACTGAAGTCCTCGTGTACAGCTGCTGAGAGCATGAAGAGGACAGCTGCAATAGAGGCAGCTTGGCAGAGCCTCAGAAGGACAGACATGGACTAGTGTACAAGCCATTCTCCACTCTTGGATACCTGGGTACATAGCTCCAGAGGGACTAAAATCAGAGTTCAAAGCAGCTCATCACTGACTAGTCCACAGGCTAATCAATGGTGGGAGTGGGGATGACAACAATGAACACAGCACAAACACAACAGAGCGGGCTCAGACTCTTCTGATACAGCTGTAACACAGATGAGACTTAAATGTTCTAGGAAATCCATAGAGGACTCCACTTCAACAAGGATTCCAGGCAAATCACAGAGACAAAGTGCAGAAAATAGGCTATGAGGGAGAATAGGAGAGCTACTGATGGGAGTAGTTTATAAGGAATCATAGAAAGGTCTGGGTGGACATACAAAGTCTGAATACATTTGGTATCATTCTATTATTGGCTTACAAATGGTTAAAATTACAGATCAATATATTTTAACCATAATTTAAAAAACAAAACAACTTGAAAGAGAGTGTAGGTACTACAAACCTGTAATCCCAGCACTTTGGAGACTGAAGCAGAGGGGTTAGAGCTGGGTTCAGCCTGGGCTACACAGTGATCCCTGTCTCTTCAAAACAATGTGCATGGGAACATTGTTATACATTTTAAAAGATAGGAAATCAGAAGCTCAAATGTCAGCAACTGTTATTTTAAGAAACGTCTTTAGGTAGTCCTTCCTTTCAACTACTATTCTGTAGTTTCAAAGTCTTCTATTTAAATTGAAACTTCAAGTAGAGAAGAATAAGTTTTATCTTAAACATTTTTTAGGATTTGACCATATTACAGTCCACATACATATGTTTCACTTTTTTCTTTCTAAACAGAGATTTCCTCACATTTATTTTTACAAGAACAGCAAAGGGAAGGAAATGACCACTGAAAATGATGCAGATGAGTTCTTAAAAACTCAGCCTGAGCCGGGCGGTGGTGGCGCACGCCTTTAATCCCAGCACTCGGGAGGCAGAGGCAGGCGGATCTCTATGAGTTCAAGGCCAGCCTGGTCTACAAGAGCTAGTTCCAGGACAGGAACCAAAAGCTACGGAGAAACCCTGTCTCGAAAAATCAAAAAAAAAAAAAAAAACAAAAACAAAAAACAAAAAAAGAACACAAAAAACTCAGCCTGGCACAGGGCTCCAGGACTCCATCCACAAGGAACAGCCCTACCCTCTGCGGTGGGGCCTCTGGGTATGGGAGGAAAGGGCTCAGATACCCCTCTGGTGACAATTTCCTCTGGCAATATGAGAAAGTTCATAATCTGACTTCCAGCCAATACATTAAACCAGGAAGGATGATTTACAAACAAGTGAGATTCTCCCCTGGTTGTCAGAGCTGCAAGTGTTTATGAAGTGCCCTTAGGTTCCTGAAGGCCTGTCCTCGAAGGAAGTGAGCTGATGCTGTTGGGGTTTATGCAGGACTCCAAAAAACTCGCTCTCCCCTTTCTGACAAGTAAATAAAATGGCAGTGAGATCAAATAACTCACTAAAAAGGAGATATAATTTTTTATCTTCCTTTTTACAGTCTCATATCCACTTCCGTTAGGAATAACGAAGTCTGAATTCTTATGCAACACTTATCTAAATGTGTCGATTTTATCAGATTGATGAATTTTGCTAACAAAAGGCAGTGCAAGGAAATCTTTTATGACATATATGGCCCATTCACAGGGCTGAAGCTTTAATTTAACCAACTTGAGCATTCTGAGGGAGAGCTGCAGGTGCTGGATTGGGAAAGAAAATCATAAATGGGAAGGCATATCAATCTTTATGACAGGGAAACAAAAACACTCTCTACTTGCTTGCCCTCCACAGGCTGGAGAAGGAGAGGCACGGAAGAGGATATTGTCTCAGGCAGCATAGCAGAGAGGAGGCAGCCCTGTCTCCCAGTGACGACTCTTCAGAACTGACCCAAAGGGGATGGTCAGAGAGAGAGAGACAGCCATTGAACAATGAGGCCCGCCAGCTCTGTGTGCTCAACAAGGATATTAATTCATTTTCTTGGCCACATTAGAATTAGAAAGTTCTGTGGCCCCCAGGTAGCTTATAGCCCTGTGGTCTCCACCTCTCACTTCCTAACTTTGCACCTAGCTCTGATACCTTGCTTCCCTGACAACAATCAGAGGCAACCGTGGTCTCCTACATCTCCCCTTCTCCCTCCTGCATTACAGATACCTCTTCTCTCCCTGGGAAAAGCCCACAACCCACTGACCCACATCCTATTTCTTCTCCCTGTGGCCCCTGATTCCACCAACCAGGTCATCTTTCCGCTGTGGCCAGTGATGGCCCAATATGAAACCTCATTTGATTACTCCCTGTTCAGAGTTCTCTAGGAACATGCCAATTCTCTCTCACAAGATAAGAGTGGCAGAGGCTCTGGCTGCCAACAATAGCAGTCACCTGTCTGCAGTCACCCTTTTGCAAGGTTCAATGATCTTTGTCCTGAGTTGACAGTGGAGCTGTAGAGAAACAGGTGGCTGGAGAACATGACACCCAGGCTCCAGTGCTGAGGCCTGGCCATGACAAGGGCAGGACTGAGTCATTATGGAGCAACACACGGGGGGCCCTGGACTAGGTTCCCAGACCTTGATAGCTCACATATCTGAGCTATAAAGTGCAGCACCTGTACCTGGCCCTCAGCATACACACAGGGGCACATACCATGGGTCAGAAGTGGCAGGATAGAGCCTGCTCACCAAAGGAGCAGTCTTCTACCTCTGGCACTCCTACAAGTGAGGGTACCCCATTTCCATATGCTCTAGTACTTTCTGGAATCTTAACAGCATGCTATCCTTGCGTCAGCTTCATGCAGCCACAGCTGTTGTCAATAGGGAGCAGTCTGCTCACCAGGATGTGGGGCTGATCTGCCTGCCCAGAGTGTTAAATGAGAAGTCACTTACACATGAACTGTTAGCAAACCTACTTGGTGTTCTCAAGAGTCTTCTGCATTTTCTTGGTCATTTTGTCAATTGCTGCCTGCCTCTTCCCTTCTGCTAACAGGTCTATCTTGTTCAGCACCACAACCAGCTTCTGGCAGGCGATCTGGCCAATCACAAGGCACTCAGCGGACTGTGTCTGCATTCCCTTGGTCACATCAATCACGAGCATCATCAGATCAATGATCTGGGCACCTGGGACAATAAAAGGTAAGGTTAGGAGACATGTTGGCTTAGAGAGCCTCACAGGAAGTTACCATGCCCAGTCCCAGCAAAGCACTGCAATAGTAGGCAGACGGGGAGGAGACTGTAGAACTTCTGGCCAGTCCCATGAGAATGCTGACTGGCATAAGCTCATCAAGCCAAAAGAGCTCCAGGAGAGGTGAGGAAGCTGAGGGTCTTCTCAGGGTCCTGTGGCTGTTGCACAGCAGGACTCAGTTTAGGTAAAGGATGCCTGGCTCCAGAGCCCCCGACCTCTCTGCTGTACCACTGCTCTCATTTTCATTTCACCCAATAAGGGGGGATGCAGGAAAAGTGTGAATACCTAGCTACCTGCTCTTACTAAGAAAGACAGCAAGACTTAAAAAATACAAGCCACCATCAATGTATGAGGGATTAGAGATTCAGAGCACTTCATCCCAAAATACCTGGGTTGCCTTAAGACTGATGCTCACCATCTACTAACTTTGGTCCTATGCTCTGTTTATGGAGCTTCTGCTCTTTCTAGGAGGTTGGTACACACAGAACTGCTGTACGCACAACTGTCTGTGTATACATGTACAGTATGCCTGAGCTGAACAATGGCAGGACCAACTCCGTGCCAGGGACTTCTGCAAGAGGGGATCCAGACCAAGATTTACAGATAAAGGGCAAAGCTGGTAACCTAGGCCAAAGTAGACCTGAGACAGCAAACTCAAAGAGAGCAGAGCAAAGCACAGGAGCGCTGAACTATCTCTAGGATCATGGAGTAACTTCTGGGGTAACTGAGGAACAACCATCTGAGCTTTGGATTCACTGGCACCTAGAAGATTAATCAACAAAATCTCAGACAGTCACAACCACACCTATTAGAGGAAAAGATGAATAGAAAAGGTAAGAACACATACAACACCACAAAGAGCAACACAACATCAGTAAAACCTAAAGACCCAACAACAGCAAGACCTGAACAACCAAATATGGGTGAAGCAGAAGACAATGACCTAAAAATAATTTCAGGAGAATGTTTGAAACTCTTAAAAAGGAAATGAAAAATTCCCTCAAAGAAATGGAGGAAAAGACAAACAAAAAGTTGGAAGATGTCAGCAAATCCCTTAAAGAAAACCAAGAAAAAGCAACCAAACATATGAAAGAAACTATTTGAGACTTAAAAACTGAAATAGAGACAAGAAAGAAAAAACAAGCTGAGGGAATTATAGAAACAGATATCATGAGAAAATGATCATGAACCACAAACACAAACATACGCAGCAAAATACAAGAGATGGAAGAGAGAATCTCAAGTGCTGAAGATATAATAGAGGAAATAAGACTCATCAGTCAAAGAAAACATTAAATCTAACAAAAGCTTAACCCAAAATATCCAGGAAATATGGGACACCATGAAAAGGCCAATCTAAGAATACTAGCTATAGAAGCCGGAGAAGTAGTTCAACTCAAAAGCACAGAAAATATATTTAACAAAATCATAGAAGAAAACTTTCCCAACATAAAGAAAGATATGCTTAAGAAGCGACAAGAAACTTACAGAACACCAAATAGACTGAATAAAAAAAAAGTCCCCTCACCACACAATAATCAAAACACTAAACACAGAGAATAAAGAAAGAATATTAAGAGCGGCAAAGGAAAAAGGCCAAGTAATATATAAAAGTAGACCTATCAGAATTACACCTGACTTCTCATTGCAGACAATGAAAGCCAGAAGGTCGTGATCAAGCGTTAAGTAGACATTAAGAGACCATGGATGCCAGCCCAGACTACTATACCCAGCAAAACTTTCAATCACCATAGAAAGACAAAACAAGATATTCTAAGACAAAACCAGATTTAACCAATACCTAGCCACAAACCCAGCCCTATGTAAAATACTAGAAGGAAAACTCCAACCCAAGGAAGTTGGCTACACCAACAAAAACACAGACAATTGATGGTCTCATAGCAGCAAATCCCAAAGAAGGGGAAAATGCACAAATTAACATCACCAACAATAAAAACTAAGTTAATGGGAGATAGCAATCACTGGTCATTAATATCCCTTAATATAAATGGACTCAACTTACCTATAAAAAGGCACAGGCTAACAGACTTGTTAAGAAAACAGAATCCATCCTTCTTCTGCATAAAAGAAACACATCTCAACCGCAAAGGCAGACATCGTCTCAGAGTAAAGGGTTGGGAAAAAATATTCCAATCAAATGGACCTAACAAACAAGTGGGTGTAGCTATCCTAATATCTAACAAAATAGACTTCAAGCAAAAAAATCAATCAAAAGAGACATAAGGGGTCATTTCATATTAGTCACAGGAAAAAATTCATCAAGAGGAAATCTCAATACTGAACATCTATGCCCCCAAATACAAGGGCACCCTCATATGTAAAAGAAACACTTCTAAAGCTTAAATCATACATTAAACCCCACATACTAATAGTGGGAGACTTAAACACTCCCCTCTCACCACTGGACAGGCCAGTCAGACAAAAAATGAACAGAGAAATAAGGGAAGTAACAGATGTTATGACTCAAATGGACTTTACAGACATCTATAGAATATTCCATCCAAACAGGAAGGAATATACCTTCTTCTCAGCACCTCATGGAACCTTCTCAAAAACTGACCACATACTTGGTAACAAAACAAACCTCAACAAATACAAAAACATTGGAATAACCCAATGTACCTTATCAGATCACCATGGTTTAAAACTAGAAGTCAACAGCAATACTAATTCCAGAAAGCCCACAAACACATGGAAATTAAACAATGCTCACATGAATCACCAATGGGTCAAGGAAGAAATAAAGGGAGAAAATTAAAGACTTCCTAAAATTCAATGAAAACAACCACACAACATACCCAAATTTATGGGGCACAATGAAAGCAGTGTTAAGAGGAAAGTTCATAGCACTAAATGCCTACATAAAGAAGCTGGGAATATCCCACACTAGAGAATTAACAGAACATTTGAAAACTTTAGAACAAAAAGAAGCAAACTCACCCAAGAGAACTAGATGGCAGTATAGGGATAAGTCCCGCCCCTTGGGGGCGTGTTCACCTCGGGCTAATGCTTGCCTATAAATTTGGCGAGCGTGCTTCCAGCCGCCCCTTCTGCTTTCCTGGTCTCCGCCGAACGGTGGTTCTGTAAGTCTATTTCACCATTAAAGCTATATATATATTTTTACAATCTGTCTGCATTCGTTTACGCTGTTACATTTTGGCACCCAACGTGGGGCTCGAACCCACGACCCTGAGATTAAGAGTCTCATGCTCTACCGACTGAGCTAGATCAAATCGAACTATAAAGGATATGTTGAACAAACAGAAAGGGGTGGAAAACACCCCCAGAAATAGGTTACATAATGCTTTGTTAACCTTGAATTTTCTCAACGCTAATGAGAAGGGAACAACAGCTGCAGAAAGACATTGGATAATGGAAAAGTCTACTGAACTAAATCAACCAGTTTATTTCAAGGATGTGCTGACCTCACAATGGAAGCCAGGAGATGTGCTACGTTGGGGAAGGGGTTTTGCTCTTATCTCCACAGGTGAGGAAAAATTGTGGATACCGTCAAAACTAATAAAGGTTCGGTTTGAAGAAGAGAAGCCACTTGGAAAAGATAAATAACAATTCTTTCATAAGGATGGCGAGCATACTGATGGTAAGAAATACAGATAGGTTGGAGGCAGGGTTCTTTTCTTATCTCCACAGGAAAATACTCGTCTTCAAAGAAATTAAGGGACCCTGAATATTTAATTACTGATGGATGGACACATTTTGTAAGTATTAATTTATATATATATATATATGTCTTATTAAACATTTCTTTATAAATATGTAGAGCTGGTTTTGAAGTTGGACTCTGGCTCAGTCCCTCTCCAATTCCAAGCCTGTTAGTAAGAGAAAAACCCAGAGTTTCTGGAGTTTCTGTCTCATGTCAAGAGCCATGATATGGGACAGAAAGAAATATGAGTTTAGAAAATATCTTTGCTTTTCTTCACATCTATCATACTTTTCATTGAATATATCTATCATGCCTTTCATTGAATATATATATGTATGTCTATATATGTCTATATGATTAATGTTTAAGTTTTTCACAACGAACAATGAGTTTTTCCTGAAGTGACATTTGAAGTTTCCAGGAAGAAGATGGGGCCCCACAACAACAACTCTACCTGGTTGATATGACGTCATGATACTGATAGCGCTACTACAAGACCTGTTTTGGATACCAGCTGCACAAGACGATCCCAACTTGGTTAGCTGAAATGGTGCACATCTTGTACAACATTCTGGCCAGACCTGCACAAAATACTCAGAGACTATTTGCAATTTTAAAAGACATTGATCTTGAAATTTAACCATCATTTTACTTTCACAGGATGCCCCAGAAACAACGTCGCCCCCATGACAGCTGGAAGTAATTCTAGAGGACGACGTCCCCTCTCCCAGTAAAGTTTACCCCTGGGTTTAGGGACATCATTTAGGGGTTGGGAGGTTGGGGGAGGAATTTTATGAGCTCAGGGATCATTTTGAGAAAAAAAAAAGAGGGAATGATGGGATAATAGATTTATAATTGCGAGTTACTGCTTTTAGACAAATATATTGGTATCCATTCTTGTATATTGATACAAAGTTAAATTATATTGACTATTGTATGCATGCATGTTTCTATCTCTGTTTAAAACATTTTTTATGTTTTGACATATATTGTATTGATAAATATATATTGTATATATTTACCATATTGCAGTGTACATTTCTACCTCTGATTAAGATACTTATATAATGTTTGTGTATTGATATATATTTGCCATATTGCAATGTATATTTGGACAGTGTTTATATTTGGAGGTCATTATCCTCATTTGTTACACAGTTGTTTATTGTCTTAGTCTTTAAGTTAGATAGATATTGAGAATTATATAGATAAATAGTCATCTAAGTTTGTCATTTATAATTAGACTAATCA